AGGTTGTGGGGAGCTTACAACAAATTTTGAGGTGGCAGCAGCCCCCCTCCCAGTGCTGCCACCACCACCTGCCTGGAGCACCAGGAAGAGCCAGGTGCCGCCACCAGCCCCACCCTTGCTTGCAGGAATGAGGCAGCTGCACTGGGAAGGGGGCTGCTACCACCCCAGAATTCACCATAGCCCCCCCAATCTGTCTGCCAACCACCAGGGAGAGCCCGGTGGCACTGCCAACCCCAGCCTGCAGCAGCAGCCTGCTGTTGTTCTACACGCAGTTCCAGGGGCCCAAATCCCCCAGGAAGAGCCCAGCACAACCCCCCAGCCCTCCCGGAGGCTTGTAACAGCAAGAGCTGCACCCCTGTCTCGCACCCACTCACAAGGTGGCAGGACTTGCTGTCTGCTGCAGCCCAGGGCCTACACTTTTCTCCACTCACCCCAGTCCCTGCTGCAGCAGCCACAAGAGCAGCCAATACCAGCTGCCTGTAGCTGCTGGGGTGCACTGTGCACCCAACCTCCTGGGGCTTCCGCTTCTCCCCACTCACCCCAGCCTGTGCTGCAGCAGACCCAGGAGCAGCCAACACCACCTACCTGCACCATGACACAGTGCAGCCCCAATCACATAAAAGTGAATGTATAGTTTCATAGTTGGTAGGGTTGGAAGGGACCTGAGCAGATCACCAAGTCTGACCCCCTGCCATAGCAGGAAACAGCACTGGGATCAAACAACCCCAGCAAGGTGTTCATCTAGCCTCCTCTTAAAGACCACCAGGGTAGGATCCAGCACCACTTCGCTTGGAAGTTGGTTCCAGATCCTAGACATCCTGACAGTGAAATCTAGTCCTGATGTCTAGTCTGAATCTTCCCTCTGCCAGCTTGCGACTGTTATTTCTAGGCACTCCTGGTAGCGCTCAGGGGAACAGGGACTCCCCCAATGCCTGCTGGTCCCCCCTGACTAGTTTGTAAACAGCCACTAGATCCCCCCCTCAGCCTTCTCTTTTGAAGGCTGAACAGGTTCAGGTCCCTGAGCCTCTCCTCGTAGGGCCTGCCCTGCCGCCCCCTGATCATGCAGGTGGCCCTCCTCTGGACCCTCGCCATGCTGTCCACATCCCTCTTAAAGTGCGGTGCCCAGAACCGGACGCAGTACTCCAGCTGCGGCTTGACCAGTGTCGCACAGAGGGGGAGGATCACCTCCTTGGACCAGCTTGAGATGCATGACAAGGTATGGTTGGCTTTCCTGACTGCATCCCCACACTGGGGTTGGCCCATGTTCATTCTGGCATCGATAATGACTCCAAGATCCTTTTCTGCCTCTGCACTGACAAGGGAGTTCCCCAGTCTGTAGGTATGCTGCTGGTTCTTCCCCACCAGGTACAGCACCTTGCACTTGTCAGTGTTGAAACCCATCCTGTTCTCAT